CAGTGGCTCCCGAAACCTCTGTAGGTGGTTAAAAAGCACCAGGCGTCACCGCCTAAGCTAAACATCCCAAGTATTGTACGGAGGTCAACTGTTGACTTGACCGTACAGTCTGCTCCCGAGAACGTCCGGCTAGCTATTCACTTACCGAAATCCGATGGGAACGTAAGAATACTGCCTGACATACCGTATACTGAGCGAAATCGCATCCGGAACATCCCTAAAGAATATCGTGTGGCGTTTTTTCGCTGAAGAAATATCATTGTGCAAGGTGTACTGGTAAATACGGACCCAGCTAAGGCAAACTCTAATATTCGGGAATGGAAGTTCATCAAGCGTTCTTTGAAACTCAAAAACATACCGACCCAACAGGTGACGAAGCTATCAAAGAAAGACGATCACTCTAGACCTCGGCTAATGAAGATAACCTTCCTATCCTCCCATATGGCGGCTGCAACTCTGGAAGCATTTCGTGCCAACAGACGTCGGTCGCCAACTGGAATCATATGCACCGGTTAGGCCACATGACACCAGGATCAAACACAAAAGCAAGCTGGAGCTAGCAATACCACTTGTGGACTGTCTCGATTGTAAAAAACATGTAAATGACAGGGACTACTAACTCGGAAAATCTTGTACAGGTAGGCTACCTGTCCAAATTGGAAGCATAAACCGCTTATATATGTACGCCGCGAGTTTGTGATATAAAATGAATGAGCTACTTGATCTTAGCAATTCTAGTAGTGTTCATGCGATAGGAATATCAGAAGTTTCGATATCTTCTCAGTTTACGGACTAGGATCTAGCAATACTCGGGATGTCTTTGCTTCACAATGACAGAAAAACAGGAATGGGGAGTGGAGGAGCCTTATACATACAATCATGCCCAGAGGCACATCAAGTGCACAACCAAGAGTTTATCAGTCTGGATGAAATAGTATGGTGCTCGGTAAGATTGGCTATCAACTCGAGGGGTCTAGCTAGAGTCCTCTACAGGAGGCCCACTGCTGACATCGAGTATGATAATCATGTGCTGGAAGGATTAACCTGCTCTGTGCGTCTCGGATTCACTCATATTCTGATTCCAGGGGATTTCAATCTTCCTAGAGTCAACTCCGCTTAACATACCTAAATTGGAGGTGATAACTCCACTGAAGCTCGGTTCTTCAACCTCATTGATGATCTGGGATTATTCGAAAATGTGAAGTCGGCAACCCGTTGGAGAAACAGTCAGACGCCGTCGCGCTTAGACTGGGTATTCACAAATGAGAAATTCCTAGTCGACGACCTCTCAATCTTGGCTCCCCTGGGGAAAAGTGATCACGCCGTCCTATCATTCGGTTTTGTCAGCAAAACTGGGCTAAGATATCCCATCAACAACAGACGCTGGAATTTCAAACGGTTGAATGTGTTAGCTTTACATGACTATCTACAACAGATGGATTGGGATGTTCACCCTCAACTTGAAGTGGATGTTCATTGGGATTTCTTACTGCACACTCTCTTACGTGCTACTGGACAGTCAGTTCCTCAAATGGTCCCAAAAAGCTACAAACAACCTACAATCATCAAGAACCGCACTCTTCATTTGCTAAGCCGCAAAAGGCACTATTGGGTCGAATATAAACGAACTGACAACAGCGACGCGTACAGGCAATACAAACATATAAGGAACATATGCACAAAGGCAATAAGAGAAGACAGGCTTTAGAACCATACCAAGCTTATCAATAAATTTGTCTCCAATCCGAAAAGCTTATTCCGTAACACAGATCCTCTTCGACAAGGCAAAACTGGAGTTTCCCAACAGCTAGGTCCTAATGGTCCGACCAATAGCGACGGTGATGCCGCTAACCTTTTGGCTGAACAACACTCTCGGATATTTAAACCGACCCACATCCTTCCACGGTGTGGGCAACCGGGAAGTGATAACTGCCCTCATACCTCTAACAACACTCAAGACCACTGTATTCATAATCAATCTCCTTCTTCAATTCCTACATCAACTGTACTGATGAAAGCTTCACCTGCAACTGTACAGGACTTTCCTAAGTAGACCTGAGAGCTGACCTGGTGCTGCGTAAACTGGCAGCACATAAAACACTTCTCCCGGTCCAGATATGGTTCATTCTGCTATACTGAGGGAAGCAGCTTCAATACTGGCAACACCACTTAGCGTGATGTTTTCACACTCGCTAAGCGGCGGCAAACTGCCGGAAATTTGGGAACTGGCTCACATCACAGCGATTTTCAAAGGGGGGTCGATGCAGCGAACCCTCAAGCTACCGACCGGTGACCCTTCACTCTATACCTTTTAAAACTATGAAGTCCCTGTTATGCGATGGTACACACGATTACTTATTATCCCCAAAGTTCTTCTCGCCCCCAACAGCATGGTTTCAGGAAGGGTCACTTTTGTATAACCAACCTGCTGACTGCGGTGGACAGATGGATAAGCATCCTTGATCATAAGGGGAAGGTTGACGTTATTTACCTTCATTTCTCAAAAGCTTTTAATAGCATCAACCATATATGTCTTATCAATAAGCTTAGACGATTGGGTATCAAACCACCTCTAATTGACTGGCTCGATTCATATCTAAAAAACCGACATTCTAAGGTCAGGGTTGACTTCACTTTCTGTCAGGCTATGGGATGTTCTAGTGAGGTCCTCAAGGGCTCAATACTAGGACCTCTTATCTTCTTGATTTATATAAACGATCTCCCCAACAAGTATCGTCTGACTTATTGTTTTTTGCTGATGACGTGAAACTTTGGAGAGAGATACGCAACCAAGAAGATATACTGGCACTTCAGGAGAATCTGATTCGACTTCATAGTTGGGCAGACGGCAACCGATTTACATTCAACACTTCTAAGTGTAAAGTAGTCCATCTGCGACATGTCGGAAAATATAGTTACAACTTGGGAAACTCCTCTCTAGAAGTAGCCCAAGTCAAAAAAGATCTAGGAGTGTTGATACCCTGCGACTTGAAGTCGTACGATAACTGTGACAAAATTGCCTATCAAGCAAACCTTGCACTGGTAACATTGAAGCGCATTTTCGGCCAGTTTGACGGTAGGACTTTCCGCATAATCTTTAACAGTTTTATTCGTCCCTATTTAGAGTATGGAAACATAGTATTTCCTCCCTACCTCCAAAAGGATAAGGACACTCTGGAAGGTATCCAACGTCAAGCCACGAAATCAGTTAGGGGACTCAAATTCAAACCTTGTGAAGAGCACCTTCAATTAATAAACCTTTACACGTTAGAGTATAGGCGTCTTGGAGGTGACCTTCTTATGACTTACAGTGTCCGTAACACTTCTGGTTATCCTCTTAAACATCTACTTAAGCTTAGACACAATACTAACCTAAGGGTAACTCCCAGAAACTGGAAACCCAACGTAGGAGAACGGACTGTAGACACACCTTCTACTCTTTAAGAATTGTCAAATGCTGGGATTCGCTGTCGATTGAGCTAGTCCAAGCGACTTCCCAGGAGTTATTTTGGAGGAAACCTGACTTATTCTTAAGGACTAAGGATAACTTATTATTATGATTTACCAAAATATTATTTTCTATTATCGTTAATATACCTAGGTTCTTTCCTGGAGGTAATGGGGATCCACTCCTACTAGACACGGAAGCCGGTTAAGAGAAAGCTTCTTCTATTCCGTCGACAACCATTTGACAATTTAGAGGGCTGTAGCGCGTGATCGTTCCTTCTGCGCTACCAAGTGGGTTAGTTTACTTCTTATTCGTAAAACATGGGATGTCGTGAGAGTGTATGCATTGATAAAATTCAAATAATCAACTTTCAAATGAAACATTTTAGAAAATGAGATGCTACAGTTCATTCGCCGTGCTATAAATGTAATTTCACTGTTATTCTCTGATATATTTATTGATACATACATGTATGCATTTTACGCCAGCAAAATAGTTCATAAGTCTACCGACAACGATTTCTGTGGAAAAGCTCCAGTATGAACTCCAAATTAGAGAAAACTTACAGAAATATCATATTGATTAGCATTGATAGTGTTTGTATGCATATGGGTGTATGTCAACAGTAATTTACGTTAGAAAACCTTTTCTGAATCATGACCTTAAGAGCTTTTTAAATAAAAGCAGCTGTTGTGACACCTTTCATGATCAACTATGCAACTATGTACATTGATTCCAAAAGTTTATTTTATGTCTATTAATTGATCATGAAAGGTGTCACAACAGCTGCTTTTATTTAAAAAGCTCTTAAGGTCATGATTCTCAGAAAAGGTTTTCTAACGTAAATTACTGTTGACATACACCCACATGCATACAAACACTATCAATGCTAATCAATATGATATTTCTGTAAGTTTTCTCTAATTTGGAGTTCATACTGGAGCTTTTCCACAGAAATCGTTGTCGGTAGACTTATGAACTATTTTGCTGGCGTAAAATGCATTTGCGGAAAGACTATAATTTATGGACGTACCAGTCACGTACAAGATAACAGGTCTCGGATTTTGACGCAAAACTCACTCATCCATTTAGCTGAATAGAGTTCTGACATTGTAGCTGATGTTTATTTGTGATGAGAACCCTAAAGCTGATTTATAACCTCAATCATCAACTGTAAATCATAATTATTATTCCTCACACGGGTTTATAGTTCGCCTTTGGCCCTAGTTATTAGGTGGACACTCTCAAGGTCAGTTTAGCGTCAGTCACAGGTCGTCCACAAATTATAGTCTCACTGGTTTAGTTTACTGACCATAAAAAATAGCTCCAACATATTTGTTGTGCTAAGACTTAAATATGACCGGGACTCAAACCGTAGTAGCAGTTTTCAACTAAGTTGTACTGCTGTCTTTTCTTTTCAGAGCTGACCGACATTACTTAATGTATATGTACAGATTGGGAATTAGTATTATAACCTGGTAATTATCGTAATCACTTGCATTATAGTTGTTGACAATCAGGTTCCAGTCGTCATTTGGTCTTCAATATTAATATGCTACGATCATCTTTTCTTTGTAACTCAAAGAAATGGAATCTGCTGCACAGACTTGTTCATTCAGAAGCTATCACTTATACTGAGCATGGTGATCCAGAACAGGTTTTACGTTTCTCATCCACTCCAGTACACCCGTTTGCAAATGATGAAATTTTGGTAAAAGTCTGTGCTGCCCCTATTAATCCATCGGACATTAACACAATACAAGGTGATTATCCAATCAAACCAAAACTACCTGCTGTTGCTGGGAATGAAGGTGCGGGTAAAGTAAGCATCATTATTACTCCGTGTGTAGTATGTTACCAACAATAAGTGGTGATTTGTGTGTCTTAGTTCCCATCAAATCATGTTTCTGTTTTCATCTTATTTCAAAGTTTATTCTACTTTGACTTATCAAGAAGTATAATTAGTTTGTCAGGTACAAACTTATTTAGTTAATTCCAAGCCACACTTTGACGGCTAGTAATTTTGCCAGAACACCAAAAAATCCTAGTAGGAAAACCAAAGATCAAATCAGTAAATACTTGGCAGGTACATTTGCCACTAAATTACCGTTCTACTGAAAAACCTTAATATCCTATTGGATTTCGTCGTCAAGCACTTAAAAAGTTCATTTGGTCATATTTCGTCCCTCAGCTATATTCACAAGTGCAGCTTTGAGAGTGGTTTTGTCACTTTAAAAGTTAGCCAATCACACTTTAGTGTTCATTCTTTACCTACTTGCCTTTATAACTGAAACATGTCACCGGTAGAGTAATCTATAATTCAAATAATCTAGCTAAGCTCTCCTGCTGCTCGATTCCGATTGCAATCACAATGAACTCCGGAAATTAAGTATTCATTCGAAACATTTCTGATGAATTGTTGTGGAAATAGTGTTCACATTTCATTGTTTCATGTTGCCTAGCATATCTAATATGTTGATAGTCAATTTTGTAGTTATAAGCGTACTATTTCATCTGTTTAAATTTACTCAATCAATTCAGTAATAATGTTAGCTTCGGTTTGGGTGCTTAAGAAGTATCCCAGTCCTCACACAAATTGAACGATTTATATGGCGTATATATATTAGGTACCTCCGGGTACCAATGTTCATGTGTTTAAATAAATAAGTATATAATACAAACAGACGCTTTGATAAGAATGACCATATATAGCAGATAATGATGAGTTAAAAACAGTTATTTGAGTGGACTCACATAAGATGCCTTGAAAGGTTTCAGAAGTCATTTACCAGTAAACGACAGTTTATCAGCATTTATTTCGAGGTAAAAATAGCCACTGAATATTTGTATACTCGGTTTTAGAAACTGGAACCATGTTTGCAACAAATCAATAAATTTTTACCTGTTTCAATGTTACAATTCAGTTAAAACTACTAATGTTATTTATTGTCATGTCAGATTATTGCCTGTGGGAAAAACGTGGATGGTTTCTCTGTAGGCGATACAGTTATTCCCTTGGGATTAGCATCAGGTACATGGCAAACATACTGGTGTGGTAAAGCTGACAGTTTCTTGAAGATAAAATATCCCATCTCAATGTCTTGTGCTGCAACATTAGCAATTAATCCTAGCACTGCACTCCATTTACTCAATAATTTTGTAGAGTTTCAAAAAGGCGATACTTTGATTCAAAATGGTGCAACTAGTGCTGTTGGAATATATGTGATACAAATAGCAAAAATATTAGGATATAATACAGGTGAGAATTTTATTTATTTCATCAACTTATCTTGACACTGCCTTCATGTTTTATGTGTTTAGTGAATCTGTTTCGTGAAAGAGGTACACCTGAAGCCACTGAAGAAACACGTAATCTTCTTAAAAGTTATGGAGGTACATGGTGTCTCACAGAGTCTGAATACATGGAACGAGCAAAAGAAATGGGTCCTTTTAAACTGGCGTTAAACTGCTTAGGGGGAAAACCTGCGTCTATCTTGGTGAAAAACCTAAGTCATTTCGGGACTATGGTTACATACGGTGGAATGACACGAAATCCAATGCCCTTACCTGTTGGTCCATTCATTTTTAAAGATATCAGTTTACGCGGTTTTTGGCTGTCTAGTTTTAATCTACGTCAGTCTCCTTCAAAAAGACAACTTACTGTCGATCAATTATCAAAATGGTTTTGTGAAGATCTCATTAAACCCTCACCATATGAAGAAATTCCTTTCAAAGAATGGCGTAAGGCGTTGCATATGTCACTATTCAGTGATTCAGTACCAACAAGTATTAGAAAGAAGTCTGTTTTGATTATGGAATGATGTACTAATTTCTGTTGTAAATTGCTGTGTAAATCATAATATTCTTGAGTTAGTTGCTATTTCGAATTTTTTATCTCTAGAACTTAAAACTCCTAGTGTTTAGATCTTACTTGTACACTGAATTGTAATTATCATTCCACAAATTTCATTCATTCGCTGCTTATATTTTGATTTTAGTTCAAGAAAATTTTCATCAAGATCACCGTTTTTGTACCTTTACATCTGCATAGTATACCGAGTAGCGTATAAATTCTGTATTGGATTAAAGATTTTAGTTTTTTAATTTAGAGTATGTTATCAATCAAAATAATATTTGTGACTTTTAAAGTGTTTATATGCATTTTTATCCCATGCTAAACAACATTATGTAGCTCTAGGTGTTGACCGAAGTCTATTAGCCAATATATATATGGCTCAGAAACGATCACAATAGAGTAGGTGTATACACTTTTTGTCTTCCTTTAAACGGTGAGATTTGAAATGCTCTATACCTTTCTTTCAAAGAACTAACTCATTTTTCCTGTATTATATCCTTATACACAATCTTTTATATATTACTTACTTACTTACTTTCGCCTGTTACTCCCAATGGAGCATAGGCCGCCGACCAGCTTTCTCCAACCCACTCTGTCCTGGGCCTTCTTTTCTAGTTCTTTCCAGTTCTTGTTCATTCTTCTCATGTCTGTCTCTATTTCTCGGCGTAATGTGTTCTTTGGTCTTCCTCTTCTCCTTCGACCTTCAGGATTCCATGTGAGGGCTTGTCTTGTGACACAATTGGGTGATTTCCTCAAAGTGTGCCCAATCCACTTCCAGCGCTTCTTCCTGATTTCTTCCTCTGCTGGAATCTGGTTTGTTCTCTCCCACAGTAACTTGTTGCTGATAGTGTCTGGCCATCGGATCCGAAGTATCTTGCGTAGACAGCTGTTAATAAACACTTGTATCTTCTGGATAATGGCTTTCGTAGTTCTCCACGTCTCTGCCCCATACAGAAGAACTGTCTTGACATTTGTATTGAAAATTCTAACCTTGGTGTTGGTTGACAATTGTTTTGAGCTCCAGATGTTTTTCAGCTGTAGGTATGCTGCTCTTGCTTTGCCGATCCTCGCCCTCACATCTGCATCTGATCCACCGTGTTCATCAATGATGCTGCCCAGATATGTAAAGATTTCCACATCCTCCAAAGCTTCTCCGTCAAGTGTAATTGGATTGGTGCATATTGTATTGTATCGGAGAGTCTTGCTTTTCCCTTTGTTTATATTGAGACCTACTGCTGCTGAGGCTGCTGCTACACTGGTCGTTTTCTCCTGCATTTGTTGTTGCGTTTGTGATAGAAGAGCCAGATCATCCGCGAAGTCTAAATCGTCAAGCTGCATCCTGCCTGTCCACTGTATCCCGTGCATTCTTCCAGATGTTGACGTCTTCATAATCCAGTCGATCACCAGGAGAAAGAGAAAGGGTGAGAGTAGGCAACCTTGCCTAACACCGGTCTTTACCTCGAACGAGTCGGTGAGTTGTCCTCCGTGGACGATTTGGCAGTTTAGTCCATCATAGGAGTTCCGTATGATATTTACTATCTTCTCAGGCACACCGTAGTGTCGAAGAAGCTTCCACAGTGTCGTCCTGTCCACGCTATCAAATGCCTTCTCGTAGTCGATGAAGTTGATGTACAGTGATGAATTCCATTCGATTGATTGTTCCACAATGATACGTAGAGTTGCGATTTGATCTGTGCACGATCTATCCTTACGAAATCCAGCTTGTTGATCTCGAAGTTGAGCGTCCACGGAATCCTTCATCCTGTTTAACAATACTCTGTTGAAGACTTTTCCTGGTATTGAGAGGAGAGTGATGCCTCTGTAGTTGTCGCACTTGCTCAGATCGCCTTTCTTTGGTATCTTGATCAGAAGTCCTTCTTTCCAGTCTGTTGGTACATGTTCTTCGTCCCAAATCTTACCGAAGAGGATGTGGAGTATCTTGGCAGTTGCTGTTACATTTGCTTTCAGTGCCTCTGCCGGGATGCTGTCTGGTCCCGCTGCTTTGCCACTCTTGATTTGTCTAATGGCCATGCTGATCTCTTCAATTGTTGGTGGGCCAATATCGATTGGGAGGTCTGTGGGTGCTGCTTCGATGTTGGGTGGGTTCAGTGGAGCTGGTCGATTCAAGAGTTCTTTGAAGTGTTCTACCCACCTGTTTCGTTGTTCTTCAATATCGTTGATTACTTTGCCTTCCTTGTTTTTCACTGGTCTTTCTGGTTGACGGTAATTTCCAGCAAGTTTCTTTGTTGTATCATACAGTTGTCTCATGTTTCCCTCTCTTGCAGCCTTTTCCGCTGTCATCGCTAAATCTTCCACATATTTACGTCGGTCGGTCCTGATGCTCCTCTTCACTTGCTTGTTTGCCTCTGTGTATTCGGCTTGTGCCTTGGCTTTTTCTGCTCTTGTTCGGCTGATATTGATTGCTACCTTCTTGTTCCTCCTTGCTTCAATTTTATCCAGTGTACCAACAGTGATCCATTCCTTGTGATGGTGCTTCTTTTGGCCCAGAACCTCCTGACATGTTGAAACGATTGCCTCCTTGATAACTTTCCAGCTGCTCTCTATGGTGGTTCCCTCTTCATTGAGTAGGTTATGAAAGGCCTCGAACCTGTTGCTGAGGGCTATGTTAAATTCGTTGAGTTTGTCAGCATCTCGAAGAAAGGCCGTGTTAAACTTTTGTGATGTTGTCCGCGCCATTGTCCAGTGCTTCTTGGGTTTTAGTTTCATCTTGGCGACCAGCAAATGGTGATCGGATGCTATATCAGCTCCTCTCCTGGTTCTCACATCCTCCATCGTCCTCCTGAACTTTTTGTTGATGCAGACATGGTCGATTTGATTCTGTGTAGTGTGATCCGGTGAAATCCAAGTGGCTTTGTGTATGTTTTTGTGTGGGAATATGGTGCCACCTATGACCAGTTTATTGAAGGCACATAGGTTTGCAAATCTCTCACCGTTTTCGTTCCTTCCTCCCAGTCCATGTTGTCCCATGACGTCTTCGTATCCAGTGTTGTCCTTTCCAACCTTGGCATTGAAATCTCCCATTAGAATGGTCAGGTCCTTGGTTGGGCACTTCTCAAAGATTGACTGCAGCCTATCGTAGAATTGGTTTTTAGCGTCTTCATCGTAGTCGTTGGTCGGCGCATAGCATTGGATGATGTTCATTGTAATGCCCTCTCTCTTTGTTCTGAAGGAGGCTTTGATGATCCTCGGTCCATGAGATTCCCATCCTATAAGTGCATTTTGTGCTTTTCTAGACAGCATCAGTGCCACTCCTTGTGTATGTGGGGCATTTTCTTCTTCATGACCGGAGTATAACAGAAGTTCCCCTGAAGACAGTCGTTGTTGTCCAACCTGCGTCCAATGTGTTTCACTGATTCCAAGCACTTCCAGGTTGTATTTCCTCATTTCCGCAGAAATTTGGAAGACTCTGCCGGTCTCCCACATTGTCCGGACATTCCATGTACCTATAAAAATTGTCGCTCTGGTTGTAAGAAGGTGCATCGGCCTCATGACTTCCGAAGGAACTCGGCTTTCATCATGAGACGTCATTTTTCCTTCTACTCCCAGGGCAGAGTTTGAATGGTTTGAATGAATTTTTCTGGTTAGCGGTTTTTTAGCGAGTTGATTTTCTACGGGATGGGGTCGCTAACCCCATGCCCAACCCTCCTCCTTTACCCGGGCTTGGGACCGGCAGTAGCCCCTGGAGGAGCTACAGGCGGAGTTTTTTTTATATATTACTACCATTAAATTAACTACTTCTGATAAATCCTGTTGATTGAACGCTATACTCGGATCCTAAGCTAGTCTTGTACCCTCAAGCGAGATCTACACAGTGACTTGAACACGAGAGAAAAGACACAAAATATGCGGGAAACACTTTACTCCAAAGGTTCATTTATCTACAGAAAATATAGGGTTTTTATAGTATTTTAGAAGTCCTTGATTTTTCCTGAAAATTCTAGAATACTACTAAACATAGTAGCAGTGTAGTAATCAGCTAATCAGAACCTCTACATTTTCACGATATTTCTAGCAAAACTTCTAATCAAACGCTGATTGGATAAAGTACTTCTTAGTATTTCTTGAGCTTGTCATGTCTATTGCGAGAAATTAGCAGGATCATCCCAACAACTTCTATGAATTCGGTGTTCATTTTGTTGTGCTAATGAGGTATGGCAACTTAGACCGATGCATATTTGTGCCTGGTCCTACGTTGTAGTTGACTGACTGAGTTTAAGAGGAAAAGAACTCGAGGGACTCAACATTATTGTGCAATACTTATCATCCAAATACTGAACATCAAATTACTCTTCACCAGTTATGTTATCTAAAATCTAGTCTCAAACCACTCTAACTCTATAATATACTTTTAAATACAACCAGAAACTTCTATCTTCTGTACAAAAAAGCTACTCATTCCATGATCAGTTACAGCGTTCAATATTTTGGCATTTGGAATCAACCGCCAGAAAGCCCTGTATATACACTTCGTACTAGACGGAACTTATCAGCAAGGGGTTTGATTTATAAATAATTTATGCTGTAGTGGTATAAAATAGGTTATTGTCTATCAAGGTTTTTACTTCATAGTGGCAAATATACTGAAAAGAACCAATACATCTCCAGTGGTAAACTGGACATGCGCGTCGTGACGGTATCACTAACCATACCAGGGTTTTTATACGATGTTGGTCGGGAGTGGAATTCAAGAGCATCGCTAAAAAGCTCTGATAACAACTAATAAGTTCAGCATAAATGATCTCTAAATTAAACCCTTGCTGATAAGTTCCGTCTAGTACGAAGTGTATATACAGGGCTTTCTGGCGGTTGATTCCAAATGCCAAAATATTGAACGCTGTAACTGATCATGGAATGAGTAGCTTTTTTGTACAGAAGATAGAAGTTTCTGGTTGTATTTAAAAGTATACTATAGAGTTAGAGTGGTTTGAGACTAGATTTTAGATA